CCATCAATTAAAGTTGTCCCCACCTGGATTTTAGTTACAGTAATGTTATACGTCGGACTGCAAGAAAAATCGCAACTAGATGTTAACATAATAGTTCAATCAGCAAATACATCAATCTACACTCAGTCAAGAAAATTACCACTTACTGTGATGGGTTAACATTAAATGGGGTCTCTTCCTGGTCTGGACTCCCTTTGTCTCCAAAACTGATCCTTCCAGTTTCATCATTTCCAAAACACATGGAGAACGAATCATCCGTTAAACCCTCCTGCGATAAAATGCTAGGAACCGCTATTTTCTCCATGCCAAGCCCAAATAAACCATTGGGAGCTGCAACATCCAGGAATGAACCGCTTTGTACCTGCCCACAGCTGCACAATTCATATTGTATATTTCATCTGAACCTAGACAAATGCCGGGGAAACAAATAATGGCCTGTGCAGAGCCTAATGAAGAATACCAGTCCAGAATAAGGCATGCAAAATTGCAAACCAGTTAAGCTGAATATTAAGAGAGCTTACCCAAATGTGACATACGCCTCGACCGATTTCGGATGGCCATCTTCAGTTGTTAGGTGCAGAACATCCTCCACTAGAACCCCGGAAGTAGAAGTTTGAGCTGACATGTAAGATACCATGTAAGGACAATTACTAAATGTTCCGAGACATTGGTTGCGTTGTGCACACAAGCTGCTGCTGCAGGTAACCTTCTTGCTAGTCGATGATCCTTTAGGGTCATATATACTAAGCTCAAAATTCTGCTACCAAAAAAGAGCGAGTTTGCTATCAATACAAGGCCAAGAAGTTAAGAGCAGACCAAGTTGGGCTGTTAGAGCATCCTCTGGTGGCAATTTAAACAGAACGAGATACAGTTTTTGCTCTTAAATATATACTGTACTTCTTTGCACTGCATATTTGACTTCTAGAATGAACAAAGAGTACTGTGAGTGCAAAATTTTGCTATGAACAGATTTCAAATAGACCTGCATTTATGGGGGAAATTTGATGTACATTCTTAGAGTTTCAACTTTCAAATGCATTAGGGACATGAAAAAGGCCAAGAAAACATAGTATTTAAGAGTATAAAGGGAAAGGAAAATACGAAAAAACATACAGAAGCATAGGTAGTTCCTTCAGTTGGAGCACATTTGGTACATTCACAGGGCACCCAGAAAAGATCACTCCCAGTATCAAGAGCCACCATGAATTTCACCCCTGGAGTCCCCAATTGAACTGTTGTATAATGTAAACTGCACCCCATAAAAATCCCAATCAAGATTTGCAGAAATAAATATCAGCAAAACACTATAATCTAAAACTTCCCAGAAAAAACACTAGGGAAGGGGAACGAAGATCCTTACAATCCCAAAGAGTTGATTTGGAAAGTGGAGTTGCCATCGGAGAAAGAAAGGGTTGTATTAACACCGGAGAGTTCGCGGTCGCGGAAGAGACGATCCCGTTGAGCTAGAACGGCGTAGTATTCGAAAGAATCTTTCACAGGCCAATGGGAGAGTTTTCCGATGGAGTTGGACCAGTTCCTGACGGGTTCAGAGAGACGGTGGTGCATCTCGAAAGTGAAGATGCGACCATAGCCGAGTTTAAAGCTAAAGAAGACCCAGATTGATATCAAGAAGAAAAAAACAATCTTTAACATTTTCATTCCTGGGTATTACAGGAGAATTCAAGTTGAGACTCTACAGAGATTTGCATTTGAAAACAGAAAATGATAATAAGAGAGAACAATACGTTTTAGCCTTTAGTAGTTTTGAAAGAGAGAACATGTTTTATTTTCAGTAAGTGTTTGGTGTTCAGAGGATCTGAAGAACCAGTGCTCCTTGTTCTTATTTTTGTTACAGTATAAGTAAAAACAGTAGCTTTCCCATGTGCACTGGTGGTAGTTGGCTGTTGAGGCCTACCCTTTAATAAGCCATGAACTGTAAAATTAAGAAACCTGCGAAGCGGCTAGTTCTGATACGTGGCAGTATAATTTAAGATTAAAAAGGTTTTTTTTCTTAATCGAAAATATAAAACTATAATATTTTAGGTTGAATGTAATTTAAAATAATATATTTTTAGTTACCAACAAAAAATATTATGAATAATATAATATTTTTAATTCAAGAATTTTAGGTTGAACATAATATAAAATACTATAAATTTTATCACATTTTTTATTAAATTTAAATTTATTGTTTTCTAATATTAATTAGGTTGTCGCTCCTATAAAGTGAGATACCCACCCCAATCTTGAAACAATTAAGAAATCAAAACCATGGACTTTTAGAATATGGATCCGTTGGGTCTACACATATAAAGAAAGTCTTTTTACCCAATAGATCGGAATTTGCGGTCTTTTATTCGGCCTGTTGTAGGGCACACGTGCCTATCTGTTTGCCCTTGACAGTGTGATATCTGAGTTTCCCAAGAACCCAGATTTGGTTCCAAAGTTATTAGCTTTTTGCCTAAATCAAATGGCTGTTAATCCAATAACAAAGTTTTCAAGTTCATGAAGAATGAATAGCCTAAAATAATCCAATATTTAATGGTCTTCATGCAACTCCAGAGTCCAGACAACTTAGCTAAGATGGAAGTGTACAGGCAAACGCAATACAGCTAAGCAGGATCCCAGCATTTGCACGGTGTTTCACAGTGGACACCCAAATTTTTTTACCAGAAAATCAACCTTGACCGAGTTAGCTGCATTCTTCTACTGTAAACTAAAAACAGACAGTTAAAAGAGGAAGGAAAGTGGAAACATAATATAATGATTTGAAGTGAAGAAAGAGAAGTGCAAGGAGAGTTTGTTTCATGTGATGTCCATTAAATTAGCTTTTTTTGAGAGAATGGATGGAGGACCACCAAACTTATTTAGCCAAATTCAAGGATAGTATGGATCAATTTGAAGAAAAAGGAGAACAGATAGAGACGGCTGCTTTTGCTGATTAAAGTGCAGATTGCAAAGTATGAGAAATATCAAAAGGGAAAGAATTATGTGTTAATTTAGTTTTTAACTTAAAATCTGTGTACCCTGAAAAATTGAGAAAGGCACCTGAATCATTAAATGTGTAAACTTCTTAGAGTTTAGCTGTAGTTTTAGATTTGTGTTAAATATGTGGACCGTCTGTCTATGATACAATTAGAATAGCTTCTTACTAGAGAGAGAGAGAGAGAGAGAGAGAGAGAGATGCCTTTTTGTCCTCACCTGCTACTGCATTTTTCAAAGCAAAGCACCCCACTACTTCCCCTAAATTGTCCTCTTATCTACTTTTACTGGCACAAGTCTCAATGACTTTAAAGGCTCCGTCTTCACTGTTTAGGTTTATCTCAGTTTTCAGGTGAAATAGGGAAATATTATATCTGAAAAAAAAGGAGAAATGATTTCGGGTTGATTTGCTAGTGTGCCTAGGAGTATTTCTGGTTGATGATGGACATAGTAACATGGACTGAGGCAAAATCATCGTCCCTTTCAGACCATTTTACATGATTTTTTTTAGCATAAGAAACTTATCATTTCTTATTGACCTGTTTTAAAAAAAAACCATTTTTAGGACGTAATTATACAACTAAAGTTAGCTAAAGACTTGATGCATTGCCAACATTTCTTTTATTATTATTTTTAAGATTATCTTCTTCGGTAAAGCTTAAAAGCTACAAGCATGTGAATCTACATGTGATTATTCAGTCATTTATGTGACCATTTCAATCCAAATATCAAATTAACCTTGAAGGCAGAGTATGGCTCAAGAAATATACTAATGACACTCCTAATATTAATTTACTGAAAGAATAAAAAAGCATTAACTTCCCCATATCTATTACCTCAGATTTGTTCTTGTCCGTATCTCACAGTCTCTGTAACAATAAAAAGCTTGTGAAAGAATATACGTTGGAATGCTTTTTTATATGATTTTGTACCATGAAGATTGAGTCTCACGTCTGCAGTTGGATTTTTCTACTGTTCTTTTTAGACCAACGACTGTAATCTGATAAAAGAATCCAATCGACGGTTACAATAGTCCAGATGGTGGGTGAAGTTTATACGTTACTATAACCTGCTGTAAAAGAAGAAGAGCAATTATGGCTTCCTAGGGAAACTGGAAGTAAAAGTCCCCCCCCCCCCAAATATCTTATTATTATATTATACGTGGTGTCATTATATCTTCCATGTTCAAGACCATGAAATTTGCAGTGGTGGTCACGACCTTCTTAGTGAAAGTGGGGCTTGATTTTTCGTTCTTTCACATGGCTTGCGACAGTAAAACATAGCAAGGAACAGTGCTTAATAGCCTTTGTCTCTCTTACCGAAGTATCGAGTTTGACTCACTTCACGTATTGGTTGCCAGCATTTGTCTTTAAAACAAGATCTCTGCCATGTCCGCAAATCTCTTTCCTCTGTGACAGCAATGAAAGGAAAAGTAAGGGAAATAGCTGCCTTGTTAGATTAGCTATTTGCAGGAAACATACACCTAAGATAACAATCTTCATTTATTGTTACTGCAAAACAAGCAAGGCTATTTATCCAAAAAAAAAAAAAAAACAAGCAAGGCTCGTTCATGTCTAAAGAAGACTCAAAAGACCAAAATTATAACAAAAAGACAAGCTTGTTACTCTGTCTCATCCCCTGACATGACATGCTCATCTTCATTGCTCCTAATGGTTTAATCAGCTTTATTTTAGTTAAACCTCTACTTGAAACCCAAATCATTTCCCATTATCAGACACAGTACAGTGAGCCCGGTTGCAGTTCAGTTTTGCTCTTGTTTTTTTCATTTTTCTGATGTGATTCTCTGCAACCTTTCCGAGACATCTTTCTGCCACAGCCAAAACCTAGTCTTTTCCTGTTAGAAGAGTTCATTAAATGGTCTAATCAAGAACCAACTTTAAATTTCACTAAAAGGAATCACCTTTGGATTTAGCTGAGTGACACAGAAAGAAATGGGCTGTGCTACTTCAAAGAAAGAGGAGGAAGATGGTGTCGTGTCACTGTGTAAAAGAGAGAAAACGCCTCCTGAAATTGGCTGTGGAGCGTAGGTATGCTCTTGCAGAAGCTCAATGTAAGTATAATCAGTCTCTCTATGCGGTTGCAGCCGCCATTAGGTTGTTTGTGGCTAGGCATTCCTCTCCTTCTTCTCCTTTCCTCATCACTTTCCCGGCTACTACTTCCACTGATGAGGCTGCTGAAACCCCTATCACCAATCCCATGTTCTTTAAGCAAAAACCAACTGAGCCCACCCATGAGACCATTTCTTGTCACTCATCTCTTTCAACGGTTTTTATGAAGAGAGGGAATCAAGATCAAGGACATGATGAAGTTCCAAGAACTGAAGAAGGTAAAGAGGGTTGTGTTGAGTCCTCAGAAGAGCAAGAGGGTGAAGAGGAGGAAGAAGAAGATATCATTTGCGAGCATTTCTATGGCGAAGAGGCTCCACCGGCAATGCCATCACCAGAGAAGGAGTTTGCCTGGGATTTCTTCAACCCTTTTGATGAGGTGAGGACAGGGATAGTGAGCAGCTTTAGTGACAGTTCTCAGGAGGAATTGAGAGCAGTGAGAGAGAAAGAGGGAATCCCTGACCTGGAAGAAGATGGCGTGAGAGTTATGAGTGAGAGAAAGGTTGAGAATGTAACAAATGCTGATGAGGCAAGTAAAAATAAGAACAAAAATACAGATTTGAATATTAATGGGGATGAGCATGCCGCTAATATGAGCCAAGGTGAAAAGAATAGTTTCAGAATGATTAAGACACCTACAGCTACTAATGAGAGAGAGTTGTTGGAAGCTTTAAAGGATGTCGAGGACCATTTTCTCAGAGCATATGAATCTGGTTTGGATGTCTGTAGAATGTTAGAAGCCAACAGAGTTCAGCTGCAATCTGGTTTGGAGGAACTTAAAGGTAGGTTGTCTTTCCCTTGAGTATTTTCTCTTCTCTTTTATCATTTTCTGTTTCTTGAATATGCTTCTAACTTACATGGGTTTTCTTTGAAAATTTAGTTGTTCTTGTATCATCATCTTGCAAATTGACTACTAAAGGTTCCATTAAGTTGTTTTGAGTTTATAATATGTTGTTGCTGCTGCAAATTAGGCTGAGAATGAGGATTGATGATTTGACATATAACAGGGGGAGGTTGATTGAACATGTCCAATCTATTTTCTTCATGGTCTATGAATGTCAATTTTTGCTATATGTTGATTTTTATGATTGTTTAACATGCTGACTGGCTGCAGATAGCTCGAATAAACTTATCCGGTCAATTACTTGGAGCCGGTCTCCGTTATCCCGGTCTTCTTCCTGCAAAAGCCTTGTTTCATGTAGTTCCAGAAGTTCTTCTACATGGACAGAATTAAAGACTGAGATGTTTGATGATTATGGGGGGGATGGAATCTGGAAGCCACTCTTTGACCCTAGGAAGGTTGTATGCTTGGGAAAAGAAACTCTATAAGGAAGTGAAGGTACTATAAACACAATCTGTTACTGGTCCGAAAACGGGAGCTGTCTCTCAATCTTTCTCGAGTGCTCACGCCTTTGTAAACAATTCCTTTCTTCTTGATGTTTTGCTTAATCTACTTATATACTCTTGCATTATTCACAATGGTTCATAACATTACAGTTCTGTGTAATTGGTTCCATTCAATCGAAAAAGTAGCTTGAGTGCATTGAAAATTCATGTACTTTTAAGCATTTGTCATAGCTTCCTAACATTTTAGAATTCATATAATCAGGCAGCAGACCAGACCAGGAAAACTTATGACCAAAAATGTTCTCAAATGAGAAACTGCAATGCTAAACGAGATGGCCTCTACTCCGGTGACAAAACCCGAGCTGAAGTGAAGGACTTGCATAGCAGAATTTTGGTTGCAATACGAAGTGCCGAAACAATCTCGGAAAGAATTGAAAAAGTGAGGGATGTAGAGTTACAGCCACAACTTATAGAGCTGCTACATGGGTATGAAAAAAAAATAACAAGAACAATATTTCACGTGTTAGTTTATCATTGTGATAATCTTCATTTCTTTCTCCTTCTGCAGCCTAATGAGGAACTGGAAGATAATGATGGAATCACACGAAACCCAAAACCGAATCATGTTTGAAGTTACTTCTTTCAATTGTCCTACTTATGGAAAGTTTTGTAACGACTCTCACCGTCTCGCCACACTTCAGCTTGTGGCAGAACTTCATAATTGGTGCTCTTGCTTTGTTGCATATTTATCTGCACAGAAGGCATACATTGCAGCTCTCAGTGGGTGGCTTTCCAAGTTCATTGCCCCTGAGGTAGAATTACGCTCGAAGAAGAGGTTTTCGGCCCCGGCATTAGTAGTCAATGGACCACCTTTACTCGCAACTTGTCGTGAATGGTTGGCTAGCTTGGAGAAGTTGCCGAACGAAGCTGTTATTTGTGCATTAAAAAGCTTTGGAAAGGATATGCACGCACTTTGGGTTCAACAGGGCGAGGAGCAAAAACAGAAGAGGAAGGTTGATGGACTTGCCAAGGAACTCCAGAGGAAGGCGTTGGCATTCCAGAGAACAGAGAGCAGGGTTCTTGGTACAAACTATCAGAGCAGGAACTAGAAGTAAATGTTCGGAATCGGATCGAATATTTGGCAGAAAGAAAAAATCTGTTGGATAAGTTCAGGGAAAGAATAGATGCTGAGAAGTTAAAACATCAAACTATCATGGGACAGACGCAGCAGATAACCGTGAAAGGATTCCAAACAGGATTTTATTCTGTTTTCGAATCCTTGGTTGAATTTTCAAAGGCTTCTGTAAAAATGTATGCCGACATTGTGACTCGCTGTGAAACTTCTAATGCATCTGAGAAGGAAGATGAAAGTGAACCAAGCTATGTAGATGAAATGAGTTCTTATCTCTGGGATTGAAGTGGCTGAAACAAAGAGAAGTCCTGGAATATAATTTGGTCATATCATGCCTTATATTTTTGCATTTCTCAGATGGAGTTTCATAAATAAGTTTCCCAAAGCAGCTCGCTCCGGGAATCGTATTTGTGGAAAGTTATTGTTGTTTAATTAGCTGATTGTAAGTATTCATGATCTTAGTTTGATGCTAAAGAGAGTCACTGTTCGACGATTTGTAATTGTTTGATCTCTAAAGCTGAAAACATATAATTACTTGTTTGATTGATCTCTCAGATTCTTCTTATCATGCAATATGGCACTGTCGAGCTCAAAACATCTTAAGCTGGTAGATGAAATGCTGTCCAACTCGACATGGAACTTCTGAAATCCAACACCATCTATGCTCACAAAGCTTTGGGAATAATCCTGGTCAAATGATCTATGATTTCCTTGTTCTGTTGGTCGAGGAAACGTTGGGGTGGTGGTCGGTTTGGAGCTACTCAACGGTTGTTTGTTGGTCAAGTTGTCGACTGAATAAAGTGTTTTTTCCAGTTCTTGCCAGACCTGAGTCATTGTTGGACGGTATTTAGGAGTTTTCGACACACATCTTAAGCCGAGTTCACCCATTGTCAACATCATGTCCATGTTGCAAGGTCTGGATAAAAGAGTAGCATCGAGGATTTCTTTGATGTGGCCCCTCTCTATATTCGGCCTCGCCTGCATTTTCAACAGCTCATTTCAGTACATTATAGTGTCTGAATTGGCAGCTTATTAACAACAGTAAGGCAAAGTTATGGTTGATAAATAAACTAACCCAGTCAATGATATGATAATTAGGGTGACTTCTAGTGGAATCCACGGCTGGCCGGGCAGCAATAAGTTGCAGAAGTATAACACCAAAGCTATAAACATCACTAAAAGGACTCAAATGAAAACTTGTACAATAAGCAGGATCAAGGTACCCGGGTGTTCCTTTGATCTGGCTACTAACATGTGATTGATCTCCAATAGGTCCCATTTTCACAAGTCCAAAATCTGAGACCTTAGCTTCAAACCTTTCTCCAATTAAGATGTTGCTAGGCTTAATATCTCGGTGGATTATGCTTGGCTTAATCCCATCATGCAAATGAGCTATTCCTGTTTAAAAAAATGAAAAATCATGTTTATAGTAAAGTTTAAACTAATTTTATGTGGGAAATTTACCTTTAGCAGCTCCAATGGCTATGTTCACTCTTTGCCTCCATGTCAAGTTTTTTCCACCTCTTCCTGCACTCCAAAAATGAGCAGAAATGAGTTTTTTTAATTGATTTCTTGTCTGTGAAAGGTGTTTCAAGTGGGAACTTACCCATGATATACTCAAGTAAAGAACCATGTGGTACATATTCATAAACCAATATTTTTGCACCTTTTGGTCCTGTTTCAAATGAAGTAAAAAAATTCTTAGGTTCTTAGACAATTGATTGATTAATCAATGATTTGAGGCTCAATATACATACCGGGTTCTTCACAGAACCCCACCAAACCTACAAGATTTGGATGATTTACTTTCCAAAGAAGCCTAACTTCTGTTTCAAGAAATCAAAAAAAAAAACCAAGTCAATCTACTTGAGCTGTGGTAAATAACCTAAATTATGTTGTAGAATGCATAAGGCTTGCTTACCATTTCTGAATTCTTCAACGCTTTGGTATGATTCGGCATGAGCTCTCTTGATTGCTAATGTACCTTCAAATTCAAAGGTTCCTTTATAGACATTGCCAAATGCACCAGACCCCAACAAACAGTCTGCACTAAAGTTTTTGGTAGCCTTTTCTAGCTCCTCGACTTGGAAACGCCTCAACCACAATTTATCGGCTTTCAGACTTCCTGATTGTACAACGATTTCATGAAATGATGAGCAAGCAATTCAATGGAAGAATGATTCTACAGATGTGATTAAACCTTTACCTTTATGGCTACCATCTTCGTCTGCAAAAGAACAAGAAGGAAAATCCCAACAGCAAGGCAGCTAAAATGGCAATGATAAGAATCACCCACGTTTGCTTATGACTATGAGCATGGTCATGTGTTTGAGAATCCTCTAGCAAATGAAATCTCTTGGCCATGCATGTGATGGAATGAGAAAATGTCTCCTACCCCAAACTGCTAAATCATTTCATGAAGAATGTGGTTGCTTTTCTTGTGATATCTGAACAAAGTCCATGGCAGATGAACACAGTAAATGAAGCAAGTAAGCTGTATCAGTTGTTTCCTATCTGTTATTTATTATATACAGTGCCCCCATGGACTTGGTCTTCTCTTGAGACGGCACATAGGCCAAAGAATACAACAAAATTTTCATGTCATTGCTGGAAGAAAAAAAGGGGGGGCATAGAATCTACATGTTCTCCGGTTCAAATCTGACATGTAATCACAACATAGCGGCCATCTACCTGAAAATTTTAAATTTTCATAGAATTGAAGTATTTTCTTTATATTTTTTTATTGATAATATGTATTCTTCTTTCTTATATAAAATCCTAAGTTTGTCCTTGAATCCATCTGGTCTTTGTTGTGCCTTACATCACATCTTTGTGTTGTTATTAATTCGGTTCTAGATTCCGAGGAATAAGTTAGTGTCACTGAAGCATCTAAGGACCACGTAAGTGGATTAATATATGAATCTTTAAGGCAATACATGGTTGAATGATTCCATATAAGACTCCATAAAAAATGGATGAGTGAGGCAGATGATGGACTAAGCGAATTAATTATCATAAATATTTAATCGTGGGATAAGATCCAGAGCAGGTATGATGAAGCCCTTTCATGTCCTCTTGTTGTTGTTGTTTTGATTTTGATTTCATTATCAGTTTAAGGGGTTTCATTTATATGCCAATTATTTTTTTTGTCACTTAACTTTGGTTTTATTTTTGTTTTGATCAAATAATTTTAAAAGTTTTCAATTTGATCCCTCTTTTTTCTAATTGTTCTCTTTTGGTCACTTGAAGGTTTACATCAATGACATCATGTTGGATCCCTATAAAAATTATTTTTCTTTATTCTTTCTTCTTTTTTCTTCCTCTCATTCTCTCTCCATCTGCCTGAACCAACTTAGATTTGACCACCATCGTCGACGGTAAATGAGTTTCAAATTTTTCAACCAAACTCGTTTTGTCCTCCTAAACGTGAATATTATGCATGTTTAACCGAAAAAATCCTCAAACTCCATGAATTTACTGTTGGCATCTTCAATTTCTTATTCTCATATCTTGTCCCAAGATGGGCTTATTTACCGTTGGTATCTTCACATGAGGTTCGGATCAAATGGAGGGTAAAAAAGCTTACGTGGATCCTATTTGAATTATTACACGGTCCATGTCGTTATCGTCATGGCAAGCAACGTCTATGTTATCATCCCTTTAATGAATTACGGTGGATTGATATAATTAAATGTAAAACTAAAATTGAATGCTATAATTAAAAAAAATTAAAAATTCAATTGTGTAAAATCATCAGACAAAGTTCAGTGATATCTGATGTACTATGTAGATTAAAGGTAGAAATGTAATCTAATAATATAAAGACATTAAAATTGAAAAATTGAATAGTCTCACGAGGTACTCGAGCCTAGTACTATGGTGATAGAATTCGGCTTGACCAATTATAAATATTGAACTGAATTCGATTTTTTCCAATCAAACTCGAATAACTTTCAAACCATTGGTGTAACACGGTGAAGTTTAAACCCATGGATCGTTTTCCTTTTAAAGAGGTTGGTTGATAGTTTCAGGGATTGTTCTGTGTGGGTAAGATTCAGACATCAATAGCAGAGGTCAACCCAACACAAACGCTATCTTTTTTCTGTAAATTATGTTGAAATTTGATGATTTGTAGGCTAATTTATTGCAGAACTTTCCAAAAAGTAGTGTTGCTTTAAGCTTTTGTTTTTCCGTTCTCTTTTGTGGACCAAAACATGAGAGAAACAAACAATATCAATATAGCAGTTTTTGCATGGGTCAAATGGAAAACAAAATTGCAGTTTTTGCAGCACAAATGGATGCATTGGAAAAAGTAGGTGAAAACACTTGCCAATGTCCATCAGTAGCATAGTATCAGCGACCAGACAGTCTTTGTTGAGATGCCATCCGCCATTACTGCAATTAGAAATGTATATCAAAGATATTAATGTGGTATCTGGCTGGCGTTTCACAAATTGATCATGTTTTTTTTAGCTCCAAGTCATATTACTGTGGCATTATCAATCTTTCATCCGACACGACACTATCTCTCAATGTCGATTCTCGTTTTAATTTGATTGTAAGGAATTGAATTATGATCATTGCAAAACTAAAAGTTTGATACTGCAATTTGCTTAAACATGTTATTTCGTAAAATGTAATTTAAATACATAAATTGAATAATAATATGCATTATTAATACATTGTCGGGTCTACAACAGGATTTTCTCATAACCATGCTTATTTGCAAGCACACAAACAAATGAACGGAGGTTTCACTTACACGGAAACTAAAAGGACAACGATATATTTTCCTGATATGAGGTAATGCAATCAATTGAGGGTTGAAAAAAGCTCCTCCATCTCAATGATTTAAAAGACACCAAGTGATGTAGGATACAATGGGGCTGGTTTATAATTGAGAAAGTTCGGTATATAAGTGGATGCACGTCGCCTTCGATTGTCCGTAGACTCAACAGCTGGTTGGTTTAAGTATGCATACTTGCTATTCGTCCACCTGCACATGATGTTTGAGAAGCAAATATTATGGTTCCATCAAATTTGTACAAAGAATAAAAGCATTTTATAACTTGTTCTGAACTACTAGCTACTACTGGTTTGTTTTATACCGATATGTTCCAAAACACAGTTTGTTAATTTTCTTTTGAAGTTTTTCTATATAATCGAGGGATCATGCGAAGAACATGTCTATGTCCTGCTATGGTATCAGTTCTCTGCTGGATTTAGTGTTGTTAGTTTCATCTGCTGATTTCTCAAACAAAAGTTTCTGCAATTTAATATGTTTCCTTAAGAAAACTGTATGACATCGAGATTTGATGCTGATTTCCCATGTATGTTTATTCTCATCAGAATGACCAAAATCTTGAAGAGAAATTTTACTTACCAGTCTTTTATCCCCACACGAACTTCATTGTTCTTATCATTGCCTTTGCTGTCATTAGTTGGGGCTGTGATATTCTGCTTAGCGTTGTACTCTTCATCGCTCAGTGACTCCTCGAAGCTCTTGTAGTCTTCCTCCTACACGTTACACAATATTGATGTTGAACAAGGTAACCGAGTGACACTTATCAAAAGATGTAACAAAGTGACTCGAACGTTTAGGGATGCTAGAGAGTAGAGACTTTACTAAAACTAACTCCTGGCTTTCTTATGCCAATAAAGAAACAACTCAACAACATGAATCAGTAAGCTGATAACTGTTTTCTGTGACAAACCATCATAAAGCTAAAGGAGTATCATATTATCTTACCGACAGATTGCGGGCCCTTTTGCGTGCTGCGGCCTTGATGGCTGCCAGGAGGTGATCCTCCTCCTCGGCGTGTTTCTGCCTCCAGAATTTGGCAATCTCACGGTTTGTCACACTGTCTGCACTAGTCTTTCTTGCCCAGGATCTTGGAAGCGGTGGTGGAGGAGGTGGAGGTGGGGGGATTGCTAGTTTAGGCTTATCAATTACACTATCAGTCTCCAACTTCATTTGCTTCATAATCCTAAAACTTTTTAGTCGAATATGCTACTCACGTTTGCTCAAGTGTAAGATGATCAAATGAAACAAGAAAATAATTAGAGGATCGACAAATATATTGAAGACAAGGAAAGCAAGATTCATAACCTAACCCCCCAACCCCCAAGAGCTACCAATCCAACCTAACGTTCAACCATGAGTGATATGTTCAGTGCTCGGTTTTGAGTTTTCGGAAGCTTTTATGTAGTGTCTAACCAGGATACAAGTTCATGGATGTGAGTGAATGAATGACCGCAACTACAAGCATTGACTGGTAGATGCAATTTCAAGTTACAAGAATCGACAAGTGAAGACAAGATATAAAAAATCTTCATTCCATATTGAATTTGTTCAGTCAAATACATACTACTGGCGATTTCAACTCAAAAACTGATTCTGAAACAGATGAATGAGAATCATCGTTGAATCTTGGTGTTAATGGACATTTTTTAGTCAGACAAGTTCAAGATGATGAACGGTTGCATGGTTTGGTAAGACCGGAAAAACTTATGTTCTGTTTAATTCAGAACATCTTCGTTTGTGCTAAACATAAACCTAAGAACAAAGACAACATCATTCAAACCTAAAAGTAAATAACAAGTAATCAATCTCATAAATCTAAGGGAATTCCAAGATTGATTTTGTATAAAAATATCCTTTATTCATTGAATAGAGAAACCCAAGTTCATAAATATACACAAAACCCCAAAACTTTGATCTTCGAAAAATTCTTCAAGTTTCAGTCGTGATCTTAAGCGCTTTGGTCTTGAACCGATACCTCGGGGCTCTGGGGATCACCTGACTCGGCCCAAAATGCCACTGACCGGGACTATCCGTGAGAGGAAGGCCGTCATCATAAATATGACCCACGAGTTTACCACAGCCGTTGCACTTGATCTTGGTTCGGTTCCGTTGGATTCCCCAGTAATCAATGGTCTCGAAAAAAGGCCTGAGCTTATCTTCTTTCTCGAAGTTGAACTTGGTCTCGTCGACCATGGCGAAAGAAAGGGTGCCCTTGTTTCCCGCCTCGAAGTAGCAATCTGGAGGGAATAAATGGGTTGTTCTTAGGTTCAGGTCGGTTCCGCACTCCCTACAGCTGTAGATGGAAGCCATTTTTGCACCGGAAATGTAAGGTTTTTGATTGAAGGATGAACTGGATTTTATGGGGTAAAACCGAGCTTCGATTCGGATTTGACGACAGCGTTGACGAAAGAGAGGATGGCGTTCGGCAGATTTTCAAAAACGCGTTGATTCAGAAATTTTGTTTATATATCCGCCCAGCTTAATTAAGTAGTAATTATGCCCCATTTTTCTTTTAAAATTTCCCATTTTATGACGGGGCCAGTGACGTTAGGTTCTCATTTTCAAATTTTTTACACAAATATATCTTATTTGAAAATAAATTTTCATTCTAATACGCATTGTAAATTATTTTTCAGTCTAACATTATACGAGCACGAGGTTGAGAAGCGACAACGTGACTTATCACATATTCAAAAAAAGTAAATTACTTTAGATTTAATCTAAATAAATATATATAATTGTTATTATCTTTTTAAATAATATATAAAAATTATTTTATATATATTTTTTATATTTATATTGGTGATAAAAAAAATTCTAGATTTGTCATTGCATTTAACACCATTAAGTTTAAAAATATTTTAAAACACGAAAACCAAATTACATAAATACACACTGCACAATTTAAAAATACTCCATATACATTACATTACATTGATAGAAATGGTAAAATATATGAGATATCCGTGTCGTATTTTAAACATTCAAATGATTTTCCTATCAAATGTATAAGGCGGTTTTAATTTGTTGTGAGAACATAAAAAAAATTCTAAAGAAATATATATTTTATTACAAAAAATAATAAACAAACATTTAGATTAAGCTTTTACACCGAAGAAAGAAATTATATATGACTTGATCTAAAAAGAAATAGAAAAAAAAAGAACTTTATTTTTCCTCAAGCCTGAATGAGACTATACACTGGTAACCAAACTATATATTAACAATGAATTCCTAAAAGAACAAGACAACATCATTTGAACCTCAAAAGTAACGGACATGATAAATTTAATAAAATGTTAATATTAATTTTGGATAAATGCATCTTTATTTATCCGGAAAACACAAGCTGCCAGCACATACAACGCAACCACAAAACAAGTTAATATTGATTTTCTATTATAAAATATATTATATTAATTCATAGGGTAATTGAACTTCACATGTAAGATATAGTAATATCATGCATATATATAAGAACCAACCAAAAGAAGAATCTTAAACAAAATCTTCAAGTTTCGGTTGTGATCTTAAGCGCCTTGCTTTTGAACCGATACCTAAGGGCTCTGGACTCGGCCCTAAAATCCATTGATTGGGACTACCTCTTAGAGGAGGGGGCCGTCATCATAAATATGACCGACGAGTTTCCCACAATTGTTACACTTAATCTTGGTTCTGTTTCGCTGGATCCCCCAGTAATCAATTGTCTCGAAAAATGGCTTGAACTTGTCTTCTTTCTCGAACCTGAACTTGCTCTCGTCGACCATGGCGAAAGAAAGGCTGTCCTTGTTTCCTGCCTCGAAGTAGAAATCTGGAGGGAATAAATTGATCGTCCATAGGTTAAGGTTAGTTTTGTACGCTTTACAGTTATAGATGTAAGCCATTCATCTGAATTTTAAGGTTTTTATCGAAGGAGATACTATCATTATGGCGAAACCCTGAGTTACGATTTGAATTTGACGATGGTGTTGAAAAAAGAGATGTTGGTCATCCACGTTTTTGAAAACTTGTTGTTTGTTTAGAAAATTTGTTTACACGACCTGTCTAATTACAGCCAATATTTATCTATTTTTGGATATATCCAAAAAAAAAATCCTTACGACCATTTTGACAAATTTCTGTATTTACACGCAGATCCTTTTGTAGAATTATTGGTGCGTTTAGTAAATGGAGTAACGTATATATTTGTATATGAATATAAGAAGATTATAGATTTAATTAGGAGTTATAATCTAATAAAAATCATAAATATATTTTTAATAGTACAATGGGATTATATAGTAATATACATTTAGAATCTTTTCTAATTATCGATAATGCGCACACATTCTACAAATATAACCGTTGAAACTCAAAACATCTAAACAGAATAACACTCCTTTAATATTCAATGTCACTTAATAGTTAAAAACATAAATATCTATTTCTTAGAATAATGATGACACATCTGACTTCTATTCGAATAATGTATTTTAAGCTTTATTTTATTTATTTAATAAAACTTTCAAGTCTAAATTTTAAATGTTTAAACTAAAACTCTAATAGTTAGAATGGATCAAAATTATTTATGATAAAATTACTTTTTATTATATAATACTTTTATATAGTTTAATTGTAATTTCATCATTAAAATTATGATAATTTTATTGTATTAATATATATATATATATATATAAATTATTTAAAATTAGATAATAATTTTTTAATTTAACGTTTCACTTTTAAATCCAATTAAATAATAATTTAAAATATTAAATTAATGTATATATTATTTACGAGTTATAATGAGCTATAATAAAGTGATCATTCAGACTTATATGATCTAGAAAAATAATATATAATTAAATTTTAAAATTTTATATGTTAATCATATCATTAATTTTTTAACATTTATCATTAACTAAGTTAATATATCATTCCATTAAAATATATTTTAAATTCTTATATATATATATAATTACTAAATTTTTATAACTTTAATCTAATAATCTTATTATATATTGTAAATCTTATATTTTATTTGTTCATTTAATTCAATTATTCAATTATAATTTATATAATAAAAAATTAAATCATTTATCTTCAATGAATTACGACCGACAAATCATCAAACAAGGGTATTATTGACTTTAGACTTAACCTGTTGCGCAATGCGCACCCAGACTCCAATAATCATCAAGAGAAGCCTGGGGCTGCTCTAATTTGCCTATAAATAAGCCCTTAGGGCTTTGAAATTCATTTCCTTGGAGTTTCTTTTTGCGGAGAGTCTCCCTCTGTAGAACGAGAAATTTTAGATCTCTCAATTTAGCCGGCAGAATTTTCAAACAGCAAATCGAACATAAAAACATAAAGAGAAAAAGGAAAGAAAATCTTATTTCGATATTTTTTGAAAAATAACGTCACTCTTTTTACCCGAGTGAGAATTTAAGGTTACCCTTATTCTTGATCGGATTGGATTGCCATGGATTTGCGGTTCCCATTCTCTCCGGCGGAGGTCGCCAAGGTCCGCATGGTCCAGTTCGGCATCCTCAGTCCCGATGAAATCGTAAATTTCGCTTTCTCAATTCTGTTATTTTTGTGTTCTCTTTTTTTCTTGTCTGTCTGTCTTGTTGCCAATACATGATAGGACAAAGTGGAAATAAATGTAGAATTTGTGCATCAACTGGCAGCTACGTAGCGGTTATTCTTTCTTTAACTACAAGATGAAGTTGCTGCGACGTTTCCCCTTTTCCTTCTTTGCTACTACCTTTTATAACCTGGAAATCATGATTTTTAATTTCATTGGTTTCTGCAGAGGCAAATGTCTGTGGTGCATATTGAGCACAGTGAAACGACGGAGAGGGGAAAGCCTAAAGTTGGAGGCTTAAGTGACCCCCGGTTGGGAACTATTGATCGGAAGCTGAAGTGCGAGACTTGTACGGCCACCATGGCTGAGTGTCCTGGGCATTTTGGGCACTTGGAGCTTGCCAAGCCTATGTTTCATATTGGATTTATAAAAACTGTGCTCAGTATAATGAGATGTGTCTGCTTCAATTGCTCTAAAATTCTTGCTGATGAGGTACTATTACTAGGCTTGATTAGGGCATTTTTTTTATTTCAATTAGAACAAAATGTATCTTAGCATGATGACAACTTCTTGTAATTGTTGGATGTATAGTGTTTATATATATATATTGGATTGGCTGTTATCAAGTACAGGAGTATAAATACGTTTGAAGGAGTGGGAGTAACTTTTTTTTTTGATAGAATATAGGCCTCATTAAAAACCCCTTCATATCCTACATGTTATATAAGTAACATGAAGGACATAGGAAGGAGGAAAAGAGCGCCTCTAAATTATATTAATCTGGAACATAACATACAACCAAACCATAACCATAGTCTGCTTAAAACATAAGATTTAACAACCTAAACACAAACTGCAGCACTAAAACCATACTCCTTAAAAAACTGAATAGACACCACAGCCTAAAAACAATAACTCATAACCACAGATCATCCTATACCAACTTTTGCTAACTATCATCCTATACCAACTTTTGCTAACTCATCTGCTTCTAAGTTAGCAGCTCTCACAATATGTCTTAAAATGATGCCCTTTCCTTCCACATAATTAGCTACGCCTCTTACCAAAGACTGAAACAACGGGGTACATAAGTCTGGATTTTTAATCCACTTTAGGGCCATGGTCGAGTCTGACTCCAAAATAATCCTCTGAGTTGGAAAAGATCCCAACTCCTCGATGAGACTGAAACCTCTTTTGATCGCCAACAACTCTGCAAGAATAGGAGGACCTCCTCCAATTTTTTCAGAGAATGTTCCTAGTTTCAAACCTCTATCATCCCTAATCAGACCTCCAATTCCTCCTTTGTTCCATCCCTTAACCATTGCCCCATCAACATTAAGTTTAATGAAACCTTCTGGCGGAGGTATCCACCTAGAAGTAGGATCACACCTATGATTCTATCTTCCGATCGAGTCTGCCAATTTTAAATCCCCAAGTAGAGAGTCGAAAGGAATATTAATATCCTTGAATCTCGCCCCAAACCAAGAAGCAGTTCTAAATCTAGAAAGAAAGAACTGCAGTGCAGAATCCACTTTCCCTTTCTGGAAAATAATCTCGTCCCTACATTTCCAAACCGACCACAACACCGCCCTTGGAATGAATTTCCAAATAGTAGATCTCGGAATTAACTCATCCCCCAAAATTAAGAAGTCAATCACCTTCTTAGGAACCACAAAAGAAAATTCCAACCCCTCAAAAATCTAGACCACATAACCCAAACCACCTCACAATGCAAAAACAGATGTGAGATCGACTCCTCCCCCTTCCCACACATCGGGCATAAAAGGTCCTCAATCCCAGTCACTCCTCTCTTCGACAGCTCAGGAGTGGGAGTAACTTGCCCATTGTTGTTTGATATGAGATTTTAAACA